GTGGTGCTCCAACCATGCCATTCCTAGGATGAGGTCATACCTTGCATTCAAGTCTAAGCCTAGAAAGCGTTCCACGCTATCAAAGTCAAGGAACTTGACTCCGAGGTCCACATGGACCTTAGGGACCGTGACACGTGTCCCCGTCGCTAAGCGAACAGTAGCGATGTCACCCAACCGCGCTTTCAGCGCCTCAGCATACAGCTGACTTCCACCCATCGTGGAACGTCGAGCATAATTGCCCGACGCCCCAGAATCGATGAGGAATTTCCATGGCTTTTCGAAGCCCATTACGGTCGGCTCCACGACCAGAAAGCCCGGCTTGCATACACGTTCCGTGTTCAGAAGCACGGAGCTCGCCGAGGCTGGGCCCTGCTGACCTATGCCTCCCTGAGGCTAGAACTCACTTCTTCCCCAGAAGGTCGCCCCGCGCCTACTGATGGTGTCGTTTCCCCGCGACGAACCAGACTAATAGGAATTGAGGCGATCCTTGACGCGCCTTGCGCCGAGGGCAACCGTTCCGAAGGTGATGGGTGTCTCCACATACAAAATACTGTCGTGTGTTTGTGTGCTGCCCAACAGCTCGGAGCTCTGCTCCCTCGTCCTCAGCATAGCTGAGATCAATGGGCACAGGCCCGCTCGACAAGCTGTTGGAGTGTGCAATCCAACCAAGTCGTGCCGACTTAAAATTGAATTTGGCATTCAATGCCACATTCACCGCCTCTTCAAATGAAGATGGATGCACACGGAGGACTTCTTTTATGGCCACGCCAGTGCGAAGGCGTCCATAAACACGGTCAATGTGACCTCCTCAGGAAGGGGATCTGCTGCCATCCCGGCAATGAAAGTACGCATCTCTTGGACAAAGTCCACCAATTCCTTCTTGCCCCGTCGGGCGGCAAGGAAACGCACTCGCACGCGATTTGCCTGGTTAGTCGGCGAGAACACTCGTGAGAGCTGCAATTTCAGCTCCGCCCAGGAGGGAAATGCTGCTTCGACCAAAGTGCCGCACGTCAGTGCCCATTCTCGCGCTCGACCACCGAACTTTGGGATGGCTAGCGCCACGCGCTGTTGCTCGGTCTGGAGCAAGGCGGATGCGATGGCCATCTCGACCTCTCTCACCCAGAGCAGGAGATTCTCTCCACCCTTCTTCTCGAAGACCTTAACGCTCGCCATGAGCGGCTTAGGACGGGGAAAATCATCCGTCCTTGACGGTGGCGTCATAGACGCAAATGATGCAGACATCTTCTGCTGCAGGTGCTCTAGCAGCGCATATTTGTAATTTAAAAACGCCTCTAGATGCGCACCGATTGCCTCGAGGCCTTGCGCACTCAGGGCCAAGCAAGTCCATCAGCTTCTGAAGCCCGTTTTGCATGCCCTGGGGCAAAGAAGAAAATTCTTCCATCCTCACAGCGGATCAGTCTAAACGACTCAGGTGTAGATTGACTACGAGAGCTACCAAGTGCAGCGGGGCTGTCGTAGCTTTGCGCTTAGAGGAAGCGTAAGTTAGATCACCGACCTCTTGTTCTATACTTAGAACAAGTACGAGTTTAGCGGATCGCAATCCGCTTACTCCAAAAGTAATTACAATCTTAATTCAAGGCTAATAGATTCTTCCGTTTAAATTCAACCTGACTTTATTTATTTTTATCTGCGGCAAAACCGCCTAATTTTAAATGCATAGATCTCCTCGATATGTATAGTAAAATTCAAATACATGTATAATTCTGGCTATCCAGCCCCGTACCGTATTCTTGTTAGGGTGTGATCACACCATGCCCATCTGGTGTGCCACACACACCTGTTACCAGGGTATCTGTAACCCCGTTACAATGTGCCCTTTTTCAAATTATAAGATGAGCTAGACGGGTTGGTATCAATAAGGTCGTCGTAAAACTACAAATACACTACAGC